AGTAATCTTTACCAAAAAGAGTAAGTGCCCACTCGGCATTTTTCAAAAAAGAGTAACGTGCGTAGATTACTCTTTTTAGTTCTAGCGTGAAAGTGAAAGGAGTAATCTGCGTTAGATTACTCTTTTTAAAAGAGTAATTCGCGCAGATTACTCTTTTTAGTTCTACGGTGAAAGTGAAAGGAGTAATCTGCGTTAGATTACTCTTTTTAAAAGAGTAATTCGCGCTGATTACTCTTTTGAGGTTCGAAAATTACTCTTTTGGGTTTAGCGTGTACTGAAGAGACAACCCATGTTTTGGATATCATTAAAAAAACCAAATCGTCAATGTCATCGATGAAGCAATTCAAACCTCAGAATGAAAAGTTCTTACAGGAAAAAGCAGAGTGCAATCAAATTATAAATGATAGAGAGAAAGTTGATCCTTTTGACTTTGTTGAAATAAAATCAACAAAAAATATGGACAGAGGCTTATATGTCAAAACTGATTTTAAAACAGGCGATTTAGTACTCGTGGAAAAACCTTGCATGATTGGACCACATTTTTTCAATCAATACGTCTTTTGTTCACATTGTTTATCAGTTGCATAGATTGGAATCCCATGTGAAACATGTCATGATTACATATTTTGCTCTCTAAAATGTAGAAACATGGCCTGGGAAGAGTATCATCAAATTGATCAATAACACCATATCTCATTTTATGTGATCCAGAAGTTCCTAAATCAATTCACATGAGTCTTAAATTTATCATAACGTTAATAAAAGACTATCAAACGATTGATGAGCTAAAATCAATAATGAACATTTCTGAAAACAATGAAGGTAAACATAACTTTTAATGTATTATTATTATTTAATGTTTCTATTAATTCAATTTATCTAATTTTTATGGCATTATTTTACAGCAGAAATAGTGAATGACAATCCTGATCTAAAAATTAATTCATTCAAGAAAGTAATGAGTTTGTCTTATGACTTACCATTAAAAATAAATTATTTATTAACTGTCTATACCGTTAAAACATTAATTTGTCTGCCAAAGTACACATCTTTCTTTTCAGCAAAATGGGAAGATATGCAATATGATGATTTTTTAAAGAATGAAGATTTTATTTTTATCGCATCTTTGCTCTTGAGATTGGTAAAAATAAGTGCTCTCAACTCTCATAGTGTAAGAAAAACATTTTTCAATTATGATTTTTTTATTTTACTACATAATTAGATCTACTCTTACATTTCGTTTATTTTCCTATTCATTAGATATCAAATGTAACTGCTGTGAGTAATTTACAACTTCATTATCACCTGGCTGGAAGGAGCACAAGAACTAGAGGATTTTGCATGGGTCTTATCAGTAGTATGATCGATAACAGTTGTGCACCCAATATCAAGAGATGCTTTTCAGATGATTTGAAGTATGTTTTTTATGCCTTAGAGCCAATTACTAGTGGAACTCAGGTATTCATCAATATTGTTTGTTATAAATATTTTTCAAGTCAGCTGATTATCAGGTTATCAAATTATTTTACAGCTTTTAGATTCATACAATAACTGCTTTTATGAATCTCCACTGAGGCGTAGAAAATCACTACATACTAATTTCTTATGCAAATGCATTGCTTATGAGGAAGATTGGTCTCCTCTTATAATAGAAAGGGTAGATCAAGATTTCATGGAACAAAAAATGAGATTTGAAATCAGAACATTTAGGACAGAAATGAAATTCATAGAGAGGATCAATCCATTAATAGAAAGGATTCTTCGAGCAAAACGTCATGAAAAAAAACATGCTATTAATAAAAATTTAATACAAACTATGGCTGATATGATGAATAAATTAGCTGACGCGCTACCACAACCCAGTTTAGCTAGATGTATGTTACTTAATGTTTTTGACGAGATTTTTGAAAAATATTATGGTCTTACTGTACCTTTCGATAACATTTGTTCCAAGTAAAAATAATTTTTCCAGAGGGCAGAACTTTTATGAATTGAAATAATTTTTATCATCTATTACAAATGACCAATACATTTAAATCATATTAATAACATTCAAATTAATAACATTCTGATTTTTGTATAATGTTTAGAAACCTTCATATTCTTAAACTTATAAGTGTAATTATAGACATATTTTGCAAACTTGAATATTTCTTCTTATGATGTTTTAATAATAATAATAATCATAATTATTAATGGATCAATTTTTTTTTCACAATACCATCATATTAATAAAACAATTTTAACGGATGAACTGAAATTCATCAAGTTCGAATTTTAAATTAGATTTTGTATCAGATTATTTGCGAAAGGTAATTCCAAAACGTTATACCCAGTTGTATAAAATGAAATGAATATTGAGTGCACTTAGATGAAGATGGCAAAGTATTTCTTGATTGAAACTGAGAAACAGATTGTTAAAGCTTGAAAATAAGCAAAACATTAAAAATAAATTGTTGAATTAAATCTTGCTTTGAACGCTTAAAAATAATGTTTAAATTGGATTGAGACTATTCCTTAAAGATTTTAATAAGTATAACATACATAAGTTTGAATGAAACAACATGTTGAGTTAAAAACGCACTAACTAATTTACTAAGTACGTGAATCTGAATAATTTTTATTACCTTCTAACTCATCTTTTAATCGTATGCTTATACTACTCCCTCGATTTTACATTTAACTTAATCAGAGCATCGAGGGTGTCAGTGTGTCCGTAAAGCTCGATACCTTTTTGAAAAACATCCATTGATCCCATGCCACCCCGATACATAAGAAAAAATCGCGTTTGTACTGATTTTCTTTAATTCAAACTTATAAAAAACTCCGATTTCGAATTAGTCTGATTCTTGTCGTTCTATACAAAAGTTATTATTTCAATCAAAGTTTGACGTAACGTTGGCAAAACTAGAGAATTGACATTGACTGTCAAAGCGTTCTAATGTGCACTCACTGCAGTAGCCGTTGTTTAAGATCAAATCAACGAACCACCAAAACTGTGAAAAAACTTAATTTACGCGCTGTCTGTCAGTTAGTCATTTTATTTCAGATTTTTTTTGTCTCTCTCGATTCTGCTATTTATGCTCGCATTTCTATAGAATAATGTCAAACGCCGATCAGGTAGCAGTCAGGTAGATGCGCGTATGGAAGGTGACGTAAATGGTATTTCGTATATATAACGAATCAACGCGTGTATAACATAAGTATATGGGCTAAGCCATAGTTGGCGTGATGGTCAAAAAAATTGTTTTTCTTAAATTATGTACTTTTGACGAGTACATTGAAAAGTGAAAATCCTGAAAGTTTCAGCCCTCTAGGTCCAACCCCATTGGATTTTCAGGGTCTTGAAGTTGAATTTTCTTTTTCTGCTGATATTCTGCTTACAATTCTCATTTTCTAGGGTTGATATGAAAAAATTATTGAATCATGGTTTCTAATGTAAAATTTGATGTAGAATTCCAATTTGTACTTAAAAATCATATTCACAAGTTGAATTCCCATAAAAATGATATTTTCATGCATTAATCATATAACTGTACTAAAATAAATGTGTTCGTATTCAGCGATATGCCCAATATTGAAATATGTTCATTGATACATCAAATTACAACTTCTGGTAAATTTTGGTTGTCGGCAGACAAACAGAATTCATTATTGAGCTTAATATGAGTCAAGAAACATGGTTTTTCTCTAATTTTCCTTGATTTTCGACTCATACTAAGCCCAATAATGAATTCTGTTTGTCTACCGATAACCAAAATTTATCAGAATTTGTAATTTGATGTATCGATGAACATATTACAATGTTGGCCATATCGCTGGGTACGAACAATGTTCGTCGAACATGTTTATTTTTGCACAGTTATATGATTAATGCATGAAAATATCATTTTTATGGGAATTCAACTTGTTTATATGATTTTTAAGTACAAATTTGAATTCTACATCAAATTTTACATTAAAAACCATGATTCAACAATTTTTTCATATCAGCCCTAGAAAATGAGAATTGTAAGCAGAATATCAGCAGAAAAAGAAAATTCAACTTTCAGACCCTGAAAATCCAATTGGGTTGGACCTAGAGGGCTGAAACTTTTAGAATTTTCACTTTTCAGTGTACTCTTCAAAAGTACACAATTTAAGAAAGAAAAATGTTTTGACCATCACGCCAACTATGGCTTAGCCCATATGCATTGCCCTGAACAAGTGACTGGTGCATATTCAAGCGGAGTGGGACTCTCTTAGCGCGTCGGTAAAGGTGACGCGTACCGAGTTGCTTGGGGGAAAGCAACACTAGCAACGACGTACTTTCTTTATTCATTTTTATGACTACCATTTTTAAATCCATTGTAATCATGATTTCTGGAAAAAAAGAGGCGATTTAAATTGAAAGTTCAATCATCGACTCTCAAACACTAGTATTGTGTTTTAAATCTGTTTCACGCACACGGTACGCTGCAGTACACAGTATATGAAACACGAGTAGCACGGGGGCATCGATTACACGCGCGTTATTTCGATCGATATTATCAATATCGAGTAAACAAGCGCTCGGCTTTTGCCTCCCCCCTGAATGTAAACAGCTGGAGTTTGCCACTTTCTCTCCAATTACACGATTCCGCCTCGAATTTCTCTACGCACGATGTTTACCCCTCCGATATCGATCGATAAAAGTACGATTTATCTCCGAAAAAAATTAAACAGTCGTGCCAAAAAAAAAAGAAACACATCGAAATACACCGCAAACGTTGCTATTCAAATACCGGCGCCAGCGCGCGACTCCCGCGAAGTAATTTCGACGCGAGACCGCGCGCGCCCGTCGCGTGGCGCCCTCGAGTAGAGAACTCCGAAAAATCCGAGAGCGATAGCGGCCGGTGCGCGGCGCGCCTGCGAATTAGACTAACCGACTAGCCGATACGTTATAATACACGACTCCACACGTATATACCCACTAATACTACCACAGTTCTGTGTACGTATAACGTACAGCCATTGAGATTGAAGGCAGCACACAGCAGCACGGCAGTGCAGGGCTTGCTACTGCTCTGTGAACCACGCGACGCCTGTGCATCTCTTATTTCGTTCAACGAGTTTCGTCTTGATTCAGCTGCAATGTCGGGTGGTTAGTAAATTCATTCTTTCCTTTCTCTTTTCATTTTTTATCTTTAAAATAACAATAATATAACGGATGACTGTAAGCCGAAGCTTCGGACCGTGCATGCGTGTTGTTGTTTTCGATTTGTGTTTTATTTTTTTGCAATTAAAAATGACGTATGAATTGCTCTGTGCGCGGTAACGTCGTACGCGAGCTGTGTGCACGCTCGTGGCCGCTCGACCACAAGTCGCGATCCGTGCGTGTATCCTAACCTCATATAGGGGCTTGAGCGGGAGACGACGAACGTATAGGCGGTTATGTTCTGTACGTGTGTATATCCATGATGTGCTTTAACGAGAGAGCATTAGCTTGAGCCCCGGCGTGCTACCGACTCCGGGCACTTCGATCGATGAAATCATTTTTTATTTATTTGATCAAAAAAGAACGAGGCTCCCGACTTGGTCAGAGCACACCCATCGTCGACACATGTGGTCGGTCATCGCCACGCACGCACGAAGCCAGCAGCAGCAGCACACCCATATTACACACGCATGGCCATGCTTCTTATAGGGTGACGGCACCAATGAATGAATGACCCCCAATGAATGAATGACCAAGAAAAGATTAAAATTAAAATATGAAAGGAAATTTTAACCCATGTCAAAAAATTATTTTTATTTTATTGATGCTTGAAGTTTGAAATACTATGATCAGTTTTAGTTAAACTAGCTTCACTTTTTCACAAAAATTCATATAGAGTCGATAGTGAATGAATGTATTCATTTACTGGGATAATGCGACTTGGCATGGCGCGATACCAGTAAATGAAAAGACAATGTTTTTGCCGTCCCGCCAACGTTTGAGGTTAGGTCGCAGACGATGCATGCAGGGCGCAGTGCGTACATCGTTTAGATTTAGGTTAATTATAAGCTAATTTTAACTTAATTTAAACTAGTTATTAAAGATGGCTAAAACCGAAACGAACAATAAAAACGTAAAATAAAAACTTTGAAAAAACTGGACATAATGTCGATAAAATTCTCAACCTGTCAATGCTCTCTCATAATATAATTCATTCATTCACTGGGTCCAGAGTATTCATTAATTGGTTCTTTACCATTCATTCACTGGGGTACCCCATTTTATTGAGTTATATCATTTATAACTTTATGAAATATTATTTTTCATGTATTTCAATTTTTTTATTCATGAAATAAGTCCTAATGAACACAAATTTGAATGCACGCTAGGGATTAATGCAAATTTAGATTTTAAATCAATTGATTATAAGCATAATTTTGTGAATCCATTCATTCACTGGTGCCGCCACCCTAATACGAGCTCGTGGTCGCTACATGGAGACGATGACCGCATCATCGTGCCGCCGCTGCTGCTGCTGCTGCTGTTGCTTCTTGGGCATACATACATACATATTTTAATTAAAATGAAAGAGAGAGAGGGACGAGCTCGCACAAGTTTTAACGTATGCGCGAACGATGATAATATTGATAATGATTGTAGCTTTTTTAACGTTTCGTATACGATTCGACACAACGCGTAACTAGAGGCGAGTTATGAATCTAAAGCGTTGACTCGGCGCAATGGCTGCGCCATGGATTGAAATTCTGAATGATCAACAATTTCTTATTGATTTTTATCAATTAGCCATGAAGCTCTATTCTGCCTATTATTGGATATATTCATTTGTTAATAACAATAATTTTTAAATACGTGGATAAGTTGAGCACGATTTTAAAACGTTTCATAAAAGAGCATATTGAAACCATTTTACCAATATCAACTCGTCTAGACTTTAAATTTTCAATCTTTTAATTTAGGGCCAACTCAGTTTTTAATTATTTAATACCACAATGAATGTTTCATCTTAGAATTCGTTCTTATTACATTTTTGAATAAGTGAGATCTATATCAATTATTGACATTTAAAATTCTGAAATAGTAACTCTCGAACTCAAAACATAGCCTCTACTTGCAGTAAAAATAAAGATGCCCCTGCTTTAAATTCCATTTATCAGTATTATAACCTAATTGTTCTTTTCTATTTCACAGGTAAAAAAGGAAAGAAGGTTAAAGCAAAAGCCATCCCCCTCAATGAGTTTTTGGGAGATGCTGCACCTGCCACAAAAACTAGTTGGGCAGATGCCACAGAAGACGACGATGATTGTAAGTATTGATAAACAATTTTTGTTATAAAAAGAGAACATTATTGAATAGATTATTAATAAACTTTTTTTTTCTTGACAGATTGTGGATACGTGAGTCATCATCGTCCTACTGCTCCACTAGTTTTACCAACTGCTCCAAGAGCGGCTCGCGATACCAGCGTAAATGAAGAACTTGTACCAACACATGGGCCATTCTGTGCTTATGTCACAAATCTTCCTTATGATGTTGAAGATGAAGATCTGCGTGAATTTTTCGCTGAAATGGCAGTACAGGAAATCCGCTTACCGAAAGATTCATCTCGAGGGAAGGGTTATGGATACGTAACATTTGAAGATAGAAAAAGTTTGATCGATGCCTTGAATATGGCTGATACGGTAAGTTGATTTGTATAACTAGTAATACTGTCTCAGTTGATACTAATTGTAATTTATATTTCGTTTACTAATCATGGATTGATTTATTTTTACAGAACTTGAAAACCCGCAGAGTGCGTATTGAGCTATCGAACAACACAACCGACGACCGCCGCCGCATGGGCAGTCGCATGGGTGATCAACGTCGTGACTACAATGACGACCCCGAACGCACAACTGGCGACTGGAGAAGCGCCAGGTCGAACGACAATCAGGACGATAGGGAAGAGCGTAGCGGAGGCTACAGAAGTCGCTTCGGTGGCGATCGTGCTAGGGATGAGGGACGTGACGGTGGCTTTGATGAGTCGAGACCAAGTAACTGGCGTGATGCACCACGCGAAAACTCGAGCGTTGACAGACCCAGGCCCGCTATGCGGGAGAACAGAGGCGAGGGAAGGGAATGGAGCAGATTTGGTGACCGCGATCGCGGAATGGACCGTCGTGACAACCGCGACAGTCGTGACAATCGTGATTTCCGTGACGGCAGTCGCGATCGCGAACGCGACGGCGGATTTGGCTCTCGTCGCAACTATAATGACGACGACAAGGAACGTTGGAGCAACTTGAGAAACGCGCCTCGCGAGCAGCCGCCAAGCACCACTGACGGCCCGGAAGCGTCGGCCGCCGCCGCCCCAGAGCCAGCAAGAACGAGGCCGAAACTGGCCCTGCAGCCAAGAACAAAGCCGATCGAGGCGTCAGATCTTCCGGTCGCCTCTACTCCGAGCAGCAACGAGTCCCCAGCTAAACCAGAAGGTGCCAATGAGGACAATACTCAGCCGCGACCAGCGTCGCAACCAGTGCCAGCAGCCAACATTTTCGGCGCTGCCAAGCCCGTGGACACCGCCGCGCGAGAACGCGAAATCGAAGAGCGTCTCGCCAAGAGTGCCGAAGCCCGCGCCAAGGAGGTGGAATCTGAAAAATCAAAAGAAGGCGCTGGTACTGGGGCTGCTGCTGCTCCAAGATCTGGCCCAAGAGAAGGAACATGGGGTCGTCGCAATGGGGTGAGTGAACAATCGATACTTTTCAGTAAAGAAGGAATACGATTCATCAAATGAATGAAATTATAATTTGCATTTGCGTTATTACAGGAGGAAAATAGTCGACCAACTTGGCGATCAAACGAGAATCGCCCTGATGATAGGTCATCTGGTGGACGTCAAATGTCCCGCTCGGGTGATTATGACAGACAGAGAAATTACCGAGATAATCGGGATCACCGAGACAGCCGAGACAGTAGAGACAGTCGAGATAGCCGAGAACGCGATGGATCACGGGGTAGAAGCGGCGGATATGCTTCAAGAGGTCCTCGCAATGATTCAAGACCTCCTCCGCAGGACGGAGTTGAAAAGTAAGTGACTTTTATACGAGTAATTTTATTAAAATAAATTTATTCATTTACTTATAAATTATGTTAATTTTTAGAGAAAAGAAGAAGGATCCTGAAGATGAAATAAGTCGCATGCCAAAGGCGAAAGAAGACGCTGCTCCGGTTAGTATAAATAATTAAAGCATGTATTTTAGTACTCTAAATTTTTTAAGATCATTTTTTGAACTCTTCTTTTTTATAATTGCAGAATTTCATAGCGTCCAACAAATATTCGATGTTGCCCGATGACATTGATCCCGATGAGGAATAAGCGCGCTTGCGAAATGCCGCTGTTCCATTACTTACGGCTAATTTCGTTAAAATTTGTCGTTATACTGTTGAGAAGAAAAATTTGACAGCAGTGATTATGATTGAATGATCCTTAAAAATAATCATAATAATGTAATTATATCAATTTTTTGTAAACATGAACGTAAAAAATGTAACATCTAGATTTCAATTCAAGCCAGGTGAACGGCGTACCGTTTTCCTGGTTTGTGGAATCCCTGTTAAGGCTCCTCTATACAGAGGGACAAATACCGACATACCGATATTATTTTGTACCCATTTTTTTTATTCTCTAGACAACCGTTGAACTTGAAACTTCGTGGGAGTGATTATGAAACTTATAAAAATGTGCCTCTGGAGCCAGTTTTTAATAAAATGTTCAATAAAATCATTTTAACTAATTGTTTGAGAATACGTTACTTTTTAGGTTATAAAAGGGGGATAATAGAACATCAAGTTTGTTTGAAAGTAGCGGTCATTTAATTGAAAACTGGCTCCAGAGGCACATTTTTATAAGTTTCATAATCACTCCCACAAAGTTTCAAGTTCAATGGTTGACCAGAGAATAAAAAAAATGGGTACAAAATAATTACGTACTTGTTATCGACTGAGTGTGTATAGAGGGCCCTTAATCATTTGTATCCGAACTATTTTATAAATCTTAATGCGTCTATTTCTATAATGAATTGTAAAGACTACTGGTTTTTTAGCAGAATATTACCATAACATAGAAGCATATTAAACTGATTTCAATCTTTCGACTGAAAAATAATCAAGATGAATGATTGAGCTATTCGTATAATGTGATGTAATAAATGAAGAAAATTTTCTAAATTTGAATGTGAAATATTATTTTAATTTTAACTATATATAGTAGGGTGTTGAAAATCTGAGGGGGGATTTCATATAGTTAATTGTCCAATGTACAGTTTACTTTCTAAAATATTGTACAATATGCGACACATAAATATAAATGTAAATTAATCATAAGGCAATTAAAATAAAAATCTTTTACAGATATAAAAAATACAAGGCTTCATGAATGAAAATTAAAAATGTTTCATCGCGACCTAATTATCAACCTTACACAAATATACTCATAAGGCACTTTAACAAACAACTCTTTAATACATTTATAAAAATCTATACAATAAATAATGCAACAATTTTGTCCAGATCATCTAAATGAGTTAAACTACAGCATATATTTACAATCTTTGTGATCAAACTGAAATTGAATCTTTATGTCTGAGCTGTCAATGCCAATTGTTTCAGTTGCTTGAGTACAGTTTCTGAAAGCTTTTTCTTATCCCTTTCGCTCTTTTTCAAAACAGAAAATACTGTTTTTTTATCGGCTTCTCTCAATCTGAAACAGAGCATCATTAAATAATTACATAGTCTTGTTGAAACACTTATGAAAAAAAGGAAATTTTTCTCACTTTTCAAGCAAATTTACGGCCATTTGAGGTGTCACTAAATTATATTTATTTGATTCGTTTGAATAGTCATGGAAATAAGTAGGCCAGTCCTCGCTCATGAATAGATCCAGCAGCTGTCTAAGCTTTGCAAATTCTTGCAGCAGTGCACCCTCCGGCAAGCCAGCAACCGGCTCAGATGCAGCGAATTCTAGAATGAAAATAAAAATTTATATTCTGCTTTGAATAAAAAGTTAAACCGTTTCTATAATGGCTTACGTTCGCATTGAATAGTGTCTAGATTCACTTGCTGTAGAGCGCCTTTAGAGATTTGTTTGACGTTATCACTTGTTAATATGTTAAAAATCGATTTAGCTATATGCGAGCATGCCGATCTACAAGCTACCTGCGCTACTTCCGCCTGTAAAAGTTGAATAGATTTTATTGTGTTACTATGAAAATAAATCAACAAACATTTGTGTCAGGTAGATCAACTCACCGGCAAATTGGTGAAACACGTAAAAGTACTTAGCAAAAATGCAATAAGATCTGTTATGAATCCAGAGGCATGACCTTGTGGTTCCGCAAGATTCCAATCGTAATTTTCGAGACCCAGAAATTCATCCAGCTTCAAGTTCAATTTATCGCAAATTTGCTTTTCCGCATCATCTCTGGCAACTCTAAACATGCCCGATTTCAAACCGCCGCCGCTCGACTGTCCTTCGTGATGTTTTCTGGAAGTTTTAAAAAGAACATCAAGCGATTGTTCACTCTAAATTGAATTCTTAGCGAAAAAAAAATATCTTACCCAGTTATGTTAGTAACGAATTCCTCCAAGTATTTTGTAGTTTTCTCCAGATAACCCGTATTTATAACAATTTGTACGACTTGCAGGAGTGCTAGCGAGGGTTTGCGAAACAGCGATGACAAGCATCCACTAAAAGTCCGGGTCAATAACAAATTTGTCGATTTGCAAATCATTTCGTCGATTTCGGCGTGCGAAAGATTCAGATCTTCGGAGAATTTTAAGCAAGCATAAATGAACTCCTTGACCTGATGGTACACTTTGGGTACCATGGGCGAGAACGGAAACTTCTTTGGAAAACTAGCTTTTTCTAATTCTTCATCACGAAATGGAAACGAGGCAATCACTCTATCGTAATCGTCTTGGGATTTCACCTAAAACAAGATAAAGTGATTTGAAATTAAATTGATAGTAAATGATAAATGAGTTCATTAAAATTGCTAAAGAAAAATTACCTCAATAGGCATAAAATCATCTTCATCTAATATATCTCGAAAGACTTGTACCCAGTGTTGCATCAAAACTTCATTATAATGTACTCTTATTTCTTGAAGCAAGTCTGACAGCTGACCAACAGAATAACCATAATCCTATAAATAAAAGTAATAAATAGAGACTGTTTTTAATAAAATTGAATTTACAAAAGTGCATTCATGATACATACCCTCAATGTTGTATTAAACAACATTATCAAGTTTTTAATTCTTAAAATCAAAGTTGCATCTGTACAATAAGCCTAGAAAGTAATAAAACAATTAGTATGATAAATAACCATTATTTTTTCCAATGCAACTTCTTACAGAATGAGTTCGCAAAGCATTAACAATTTGAGATAATGCAATTGACCAGAGCTCTTCTAGATATGTGCGAGTAGTTAATCCATTTCCAGTATTTAATATATGATCCTCAACAACGAAAAAACCAAGAATTGCATAAACATAAGATTGATAGCCAGCTATACTTTCATGCTAAAACAAAAATGAATGTTAATTTTTAAAGAATTAAATTACTTTATTATAGAGGTAAGTTTATACCATATTTATTGGGGGCTGCAATACAAGTCTGGCTTGCTGTTGTCTCTGCTGTCTATAATATGCTTTAAATGTTTCACCTTCTCGAAGAACTGTGTAAATATGCATACACCTATACACTGGACTGAAATCCATTAAATCTTGTGCGCTTAGCTCTTCTTCTCCATCATTTGCATAAACAGGTTGAGGTCTTTTCTTTTTTTTACCTATCACCTCTGCTTCTTTATCTAATTCTTCAGCAGTCTAAAATATTACATGACATTATTACAAAAAAATTAACTCAAATATTCTAATTGCATAATTTAAAACTGACATGTCTCATAGCAACTTCACCAATCTTGGGGGAGTATTTTCTGATATTTTCAAGGAAGTCTCTCAAATCAGTCATTGCAGCATCTTTAATATCTTTGCGTAGTCTGTAACAAATATATCAAGTTCAAGTATTTCAATTTGATAATTTAACTCATTTTTGAAATGCAATCATCTTACTGAGGAATTTTTTCAGTTATCTGAAGAGAGAATCGATAATTCTTTACTTTAGGCAAGTCTTCATTTTCTAACTGTTCAACAGTTTTCAGAGCATTGTAATAACGCTTTTCTTTCAGCTGTTTCTGTAACTTGGCATAAGCTGCCAATACTGGAAGACACATTGTTAGACTGTCAGCTGCTGCAGCCATGTTACTTTGAACTTTTCTAGCTTTTACAAGATCCTCCATTTTCTCTTTGACAGAATCCATGCTTGAACTTATTCTTTTGTCTAATTCTTGAATCTCACCCTAGATTAAAATCAAATTTTTTGAATTAAAGCATATAATACAAAAATGTTAGTTTGTTAACATTTGCCACTTGTGTTTCAACAAACCATTAGATGTTGGGCTTGCGTTCTAACTTGTAGGAGTTCTCGTATCGAATCGATGAAACCTTGGTAATGGTGATTACACATGCGTTCAATGTCCTTGTCATGGCTTTTGACTCTTTCGTCCAACTTTTGCATAAACTTTTGATGTTCATTTCCATCGTAGATAGCCCTGCAATGTCAAAACACAACATTTTAAAATGACGTATCGGTCTGTCACCAAATCTTCATTCAAGAACCAAGCGGGGAAACCGAGACAGTAGGCAAAAGCTACCTTATAATCAACCCAGTACTGTTCATGTCGGATGACTCGATTTCGTCCAGTAGATGCTCGTGTTTGGGCGCGGTGGAGAGCAACGCGCTCTCCAGCGCGCTATCCATCATCGCGTGTTACGATTGATTACTCTTTACAGACATGCACCTTTCAAAATGACAGAGTCGCTCGGAATTATAACCCGTCTCATTTTAAAAGAATCCCCCCTTTACGGTGTGTCACGATGCAACTGCCAACAAGGGTACAACAACATGCACGCCTGCTGCATGCCTAGGCAGCTGCACAGTGCATTTCGGCATAGTCGAAGTACAGGTATATATATACAGAGCCTATAAGGAGCCTATTGCGCAAAAGGGTTGCGCACCCCTATTCGTCGAAGGGCAGACACGTTCGTAGTAGCTCTGTATACATATAGTTATAGAAGGGCCCGCAAGACGAGAAAGTTTGCGAAATTCAAAAAACCTCGTTCGAAGGTGATGCCGCGGGTGCGACTCTTTTTGACGTACCTGAAAGTCGGGCCCAGATAATCGTCGATGCTCTCGATTTCTTGAATAAGAAGATCCAGCGATTGATTCTGCATCTCGATGCACTTTGACGCTGGCGATAAACACGCCCGCAGCTGGAATTCTCGATGGCGAAGTCGCTCCCGATGGGTTTGTTTTTGTGAATGACACGAAGACGACAACGACGACGACAAGTATATCTATGCGAATGACTGCAAGTTATGCGTATGTATATGTTACGTATGTAAGTATGTTTGCGTACAATATGTGCCAAAGAGTGAAAGATCCCTCCCCACCCGCGGTCGATGGTGACTGGCGTTGCCTAGTCTCCACCTGTTACACACACACATCATCGTGTCGTTTTGAATCGGATTTTCGAGTCTGTTTTTTTATGAAATTATTGTACTGTGCATCAAGGAAAAGTGAAAATAAAATTATTGAAGTTTTGGTTGAATTGTAAATCATTTTTTTATTATATAATTAAAATATATAAATTTGATTTATATACAATACATTTAACTTAATTATTAACATGACTTAATAATAACATTTAGTTCATTATAAAACAGTTAAGAACTTATTTATTGTTCTGAGTCTTTTTTGCTTTCTTTGCTTTAGGCGCATCATTGTCAAAAAGCACATTTACAGCATTTTTAAGTATATTTTTGTTTGTTTTGCCAACTTCTTTAGATTTAGCTTTTTCTTTTTCCAATTCTGCTTTGCAATTTTGTAATTTTCTTTTCAAATTTTCTATCTCAATTTTATTTATTTTTGCCTGGATAGAACTTGTGTCAGCGTTATCATCAACTGATGATGATAAAGTAAGAAATTCTGATCCATCGGTATAGTCTAAATCACCTTCAATTTCTACAGGTCCTTCCTTTGTTGCTGTTTTTTTTAATGGACAAATGGAAAAACGAGGTTTAAACTTTGGGTCGTTGAAATTTCTACAATCTTGAGTGAAGAATGCTGAAACTACAGGCGCTTGATGTTTCAGTGTCAAAAGTATTTGACAACTTGCAATATCCCACATGTGAACCATACAATCTTTGGATCCGGTAAGAAGTGTAATACAATCATTGGATGCAGAAAGAGCTGTGATACTAGCTTCGTGTCCTTTATATACAAACTTTTCACCCAGCGACACGTGATATTCTATGGATCTTGGTGGTTCTCTCAAATTGAACTTTTCCACCACTCCTTTAATATCTCCAACGAACAAATTATTTTCCATGAGGTCACAGGTAACTGTCGTGAGCTGCTCGTCGAACACCAATCCCAGAAGCATTTGATTCTTCCAGATGTCGTAAACCCTGCACGATTGGTCCAGCGAAACCGAGTACAATCTGTTGCTGGTGTTCAGTTTACCAAAGTACAGATCGGTGATGGTCTTGGAGTGGTAATTGAACTCGCTCAGTGGCTCGAATTCCGCTTCGTTGGCCACTCGACTGAGCAGCCAGACGAATATCAAGCCGTCCTCGCCACCGCTGGCGAAGCAGGTGCCGTCCGCGTTGAACACCAGCCGGTTGACGGGCTGATAGTGCTTGGTGAAGGATCGCACGAGCTCGCCGTTGCACGTGGTCCAGACGCAGATGGTGTCGCCGATGGCCGCGACGATGACGGCGCCGTCGGGCGAAGCAGCGAGGGCCGTGACTCGGCCCGGAGTGACGAACCTCGTGTTGGGCACCATGACCTGGCTGTTGACGGGCCACGCGTACAGCAGGGACTTTTGCACGTCGGCGCCGATCACGTAGGAGTCGCGCAGCGGCTGCAGGGTGGCCTGGCCGAGGGCACCCGTGTGGCCCTTGTCCCCGGCCCGGTACTGGTGGCGAAGGGAGCCCGTCACCGGGTCCCACAGATTGGCGCTGCAATTCTTGCCAGAACAGTCGCTGGTCAGGATGAGCTCGGACGAGCACCTGTCGGTGATACTCGTCATGGTTGTCGAGAGTTTTTTTTTTTTTAAATCAACACAAAAACAAATTAAATATTGATACACAGCGTGGGTCGAGCTGTGCGTTTCACACTACACGTGGTTTTGTAATTTTAGTCTGCTTGATGCGTCGCGCCGGCACTGAACTGCAGACTGCGGAGACAGTGTGGATACGTCACAATTCGGATCGTTCTACTGACATCACCAGCGATGCGCGCGCGCACACATGAACGGCGGTCGGTTTGAAAATTCAGTGTAAGTAATAAAAATTTGATTAATAAAAATGTCGTTGACTTTATTTAATATTCATCGATAGTTACAATGGTAACTCATAATTATTTAACATTGATCTATTGTTACAATAGTAACTCGTAATTATTTAATATTCATCTATCGTTACAATGGTAACTCGTAATTATTTAATATTCATCTATCGTTACATTAATAATTTGTAATTATTCAATGTTCATCTATAGTTACAAATAGTAACTCGTAGCTATTTAGTATTCATGTATCGTTACAACGGTAACTCGTAATTATAAAATAACATAAAAAAACAATACAATAAATTTTTACTCCTCAGGAGCGATTCCGATTCATCCTATCTACACGAGAAAAGCGACTCGTCGTTAACTAACGATCGATCGACTCGTCGTCGCTTTCTCCACATCGAAGCAGCGGCTCCTCGATCTGCAGTCGTCCCAGCTGTTCGGCTGCCTCTTCCGTCACCGACACCGGCTCGTCCTCTCCCCGCAATACTCGGCCGGCCACCTCGGTGATCTCGCTCCAGGCGTAATCGATGTCCTCGGCGGTGGTGTAGCGACTGCACACGACGAACCTGACGAGGGTCAGGTCGCGATAGGCGCCCGCTATCACGTAGATGCGGCGTCGCAGCATTAGCCGGTCGAGCAGCTGCCGCGTCGAGGAGTTGTCCGCGTCGCCCCGGAACCTGAAGCAGATCAGGCCCATGCTCGGTTTGACGGGTATCTCGAAGCGCTCGTCGGCCGCGACGAGCCGATGAAAGTACTCGGCCTGCGAGATCGTGTCGCGGATGTGCTTCTGCAGGCCCTGCTGGCCGTAGAGGCGCAGCACGAGCCAGAGCTTCATCGAGCGAAAGCGTCGACCGAGAGACAGTTGCCAGTGCTGGTGGGAAATTTCGAGATTGTAAGATGAATGTTTGAAATATAAACATGAATTAATCAATGAGAAAAACACTCACTCGATAGTCGCGCTCGGCCTTGGGTTTGTTTTGATCGCTGGCCAGATAGACTCGCTCGACTCTGAAGGGCTCGGTTATGTGTCGAGCGTCCTTCATCCTGCGCAAAAAGCAAAACAAAAAAATGATAGATTCGTAATTCATAAAAAAAAAAAAAAAAAAAAAAAAAAAATTAAATCACCAATGAGCCGAGCAGTCGGCGTTGACCAGCAGCCACTTGTGCGGATTGAAGTTGAACGAGTCGCAGTACTCGACGCCGGCCATCAGCGGCCTGAACTCGGGACAGACGAAGGCAGCCCCGGCGTAGGCGGCGTCCACGTGAAGCCAGATCTTGTGCTCCTGGCACAGAGGCCCGAGCTCGGCCAGGTCGTCGAAGGCGCAGGTAGGCGTCGTGCCCAGGGTCGCCACGAGGGCGCAAGGTATCAGGCCCTCCTCCAGGTCGCGCTTCACCTGATCGAGCAGGGTCGCGCCTCTGAGGCGACACTCCTCGTCGCCGGGCAGCAGTCGCATGGGTATGGCCGCTAGACGGCCGGCCTTTTCCACGCTCGAGTTCGCTTGATCTGTTGTTGGGACGTTAATGATATTATAAGTTTATCAAAGTTCATAAAAGCAATAATGTTAATCAAAAAATAATTGAAGCTATAAAAAAATCCAAGGGGTCCGGTTACCGATCACACTACTGAATTATCAAAAAAAAAAAAAAAAAAAAAATTATTTAATTTCGATCGCTCACCCGACGTGTAGGAAACCAGCTTGGACCTGATAAGTCCCTCGCTCCATTCGGGATGCTCCTTCTTGACTCTGCGAATCGTCGTCTCTCTCGCGGCCAGCAGACTGATGAGAGTCGACTCGCTGGCCGAGCCCTGTATGCAGCCGCCGCCCGGGCCCTCGCTCGAGTTCAAAAAGTGCTCGGGCAGCCCGAGCAGCTTGGCCAGCCAGTCCAGGGTGATCATCTCGAGCTCGGTGCAGGCCGGCGAGGTGATCCAGGAGAAGCCGACGCAGCCGATGCCGCTGCTCAGAATGTCGCCGACGATCGCCGGATACGAGTTGGACGTGGGGAAGTAGGCGTGGAAGTGCGGCGAGTTCCAGTGCGTGATGCCGGGCATCACGTGTTTCTCGAGGTCCGCGAGGCAGGCTTGCCAGTTGTCGGGTGCGCGGGGCGCCTCTTCGGGCAGCAGCTTGGCCAGGTAGCCCGGCTCGACCTTGGGCAGCACCGGCCGATCGCGCAGACTCTCGTTGTAGTTCGCGACGTAGTCCACCGCGGCCTTGGCGAAATCGCGAAACTCCTGGTGATTCATCCTGCGTACTTTGGCGTGATATACCGTGAGAAAAGATCACCTGTAATGATTTTTCGCGCCAAGTTAATGTCGACGAAAGAAAAATAAAACCGTTACACTTACTGGACGATAACTGCGACGACGACGGTGCTGTCGGTTTGGCTTTCAAATTCAAACTAATTCGTTGATCGTCTCGCTAGAAATATCTACTTCCTACCACTCTCACCCTACTCTCGCACTATTGATTCGTATTATTATTATTATTATTATTATTTTTTTTTAATTCAATTTTCAATCTATAATCGTGTCGTAATCGTTGACACGAAAGTCCCGCGTGTAAAGTATTTTTCATTCGACGTACCGCATTAGATTTTTTATTTCTCGTATCGTATCGAAAAATGAATTAGAATATAATTACGTAGCGAAATAATTTTTCGACATTTTCATCGTCGCGGTCAACGCGCCATCTCAACGTACTTTCTCTCTCTTTCGGCGCCGAAATTTTCGCTCGACGATATCTACCGATGTTTACAAATATCGAGAGTCACAGTTACGTCTGTCGTTGGTAACGAGCAAGGGCTAGGAGTCATGTGAGTTTTTCCAAAGTTTTTCGTACATCGGCGTTCTCCATTCGCTTCGATTTTTTTTTTCATATAGATCGGACACGGTAGTATTACGATCGTTTATTATCGAACTTTTTTATCGCGCGCATCTAAATTAATTTTCAACGCTCTACATAGAGAGATAGAGATAAGATAAATCGATTTCATATTTAAAAAACAATGAGAGATGGGTCATTTGGTCGCGAACAATTTGTCATTTGCAAAAATCGTACATCAAAGAACCATCGAATTCGCATTTTCTTTTCGGATAAAAATCGTCATCGTACGCGGTCGCAAGTCGTTATTATGTACGGTCTCGGTGTGCCGCTGAGCTCGTGTTTACATTTTTCGATCCTCTACACAAACAGAGAGTCTTGTCATAATATATGTCACTCTATACCTACAATATACTCGTGTAATATAACGAACGAAAATTTCCCAACGTCTCTCAGGGCCGAACAACAACAACAACAGCAACAGCAGCAGCAGCAAGTAGACACTCCCAGGATTCTGTGCACCTGCTACTATCCGGGCTGCTGGAACCAGCTGCAGCGAAGCGTCCTCGACGATTACACGTACCAGAGGGATGGCCGACCACCGTCAACCTCGCCACCGTCGATGTCACCACCCACCAGTCCACCGGAGGCTGCGGAGGCCGGCGCACCGGACGAGGCAGCCATCCCCGCGGCGTCCGGCGAACCCGCTGCACCACCAGCACCAGCACAACCTGTACCAGCACCAGCCGCACCAGCACCAGTTGCACCAGCACAACCTGCACCATCACCAGCACCCCCAGCACCAGCTCAACCTGCACCAGCACATCCTGCACCATTACCAGGTGCACCAGCACCAGTGGCACCAGCAGCACAACCTGTACCAGCACAACCAGCATATCCTGCACCAACAGCACCTGCACGAGCACGAGCACGCGTCGCACCATCAGCAGTGCCAGCACAACCTGGACCATCTCCAGCAGCTGGCGCACGAGCACGAACTGCACCAGCAACACCTGCGCGCGCACGAGCACGCGCTGCACCGCCACCGGTGCCACCCGGCTACAAGACGTTCTATCGCATGTGGCGACCGGACTTCGCCGCCGAGGAGAAGTGGCGTCAGTTCATGGGCCTGCTCACCTGGGTCCAGGACGACTCGCGCTTCGTGTGCGCGGATCACTTTCGCCCCCGGGACTTTCACCAGCAGGGCCCGGGCGCGGACCCGCGACTGCGCAGGCTGCGCCAGGCGGCCGTGCCGCGGCGGGTGCGCGCCTCGTTCGGCGCCCTGCACCAGATGGCCGAGCGCCAGGGCGCCTATCATCCGCGCGTGCTCGGCGGCTCGACACTGTTCACGCGCGATCAACCCTGCAGTCCGGGCCTCAACGGCGAGGCGCTGCTCTGGCTGCACGAGCAGAGCAGGAGGCTCGAGCCCCAGGAGCTCGTCTGCTCGCTGCTGCTCGACGAGGTGCCGGTGATCAAGCGGGGCGACGGCGAGGGTGTGGCCGATCGACCCTGTCCCAACTACAAGTGCATGGTGATGATGTTGAGGGGACTGCGCAGCGACTGGCGCCTCATACTCGGCTATCAGTTCACCTCGGAGCCGTACGACCCGGCGAGGCTGCCCGAACTGCTCACGAGGACCGTCGCGGCGGTGCAGCACGCCGACTTCAAGCTCGTCGCCATCACCCTCGACTGGCACTCGTTCCTGCTGCCCGGCGTCGAGAAGTTCTGCTGCGACTCGGACGACCGGCGCACCTACTACAAGCCCCGGCAATCGGGCGAGCAGCGCATCTATCTGTACTTCGACCCGGCGAGGCTGATGCGAGCGACGCGCAACTGTCTGCTGAATCACGAGATCCACTGGGGCGCGGCGCTGCAGCGTGTGTCGCGGCCCAGCTTCACCGCGGACTTCGAGGCGATGAAGCGCGCCTACGTGGCGAGTCGCGAGCTGCCGCGCGAGTCCTATCTGCTGCCCCGACTGACCCGAGACGACTTCGACTGGTTCACCGAGCCCACGCGACTCGAGCGCATCGACGTGGCGCTCAAGCATCTGAGCCGCTCGATGGCGCGCGCCATCGAGCATCAGGTCTGCTACGACCGGCTGCCCCGAGACTGCCTCGACACGGCCTACTTCGTCGAGCGGCTGGATCGGCTCTACGACTCGCTGCAGGGCGTGGAGCTCGAGCCCCGTAACAACGACAACAAGCCCATGAAGTCGGCCGTGCACAGGACCTCGGATCACATGGCCTTCTGGTCGGAGATGCGGGCCGAGATGCGCGACTGGCAGATCGACGGCGCCTGGAAGGACGTGGCGAGGATGCAGCGCCCGAATCAGGGCTGGTGCGACACCATCAACGCCACGCAGGCCATCTGGCGCGTGGCCCAGGACGAGCACGGCTTCAGGCACATGGCCACCAAGTATCTCGATCTCGAGCCCATGGAGAGGATGGTGTGCTACCTCGAGACCAGGATCACCAGGCCCGTGCCCGACCTCATCAGGATATAAGGATTTCGCGCGTGTGTGTTTGTGCGTACATTGTCGTTTCAATGTATGCGTTTGTATTTGAATTGTATCAATGTAAATAGTTCGTCGATCGTGTATGTATGTGCGTTTTGTATAACGTTTACAAATAATTCAGGACCTCTGTAAATAATGTAGCCCTCCTCAGGACGATCGAAGTTTGATTTTTAATGAAAAGTAATAATTTATAAGTATTATAGTCAACGCCATGACAATTGTGTAAAAAATAAAACATCAGAAAGATTTTTTAATAAAACCGAAAAATCGTCTCGACTATATACCTATATACTGTCTTCCTTTTTCTTCTTTCGCGCTCCGAGACACAAGACGACGCAGTGTCTCTCTGTATTAGCGCGCGCGCCGCATGCCCAACCGGCGAATTCGCGCCATTATTTACGATCATATGTTTTTTCGGACACGGAGAGATGCGCGCGAGTGTGTGTTTACGCACACAGGGACGACGACGACGACGACCCATTGTGTCGTATTTTTCGAAGGCGCGCGAGGAGCGAGATCGGTGAACCGCTGCGCGTGCCATTGTGCGTATTAAAGTATAACTCCTCGTTGTCGCGGATGAAACCATAAGACTTTAACTGCCTGCGCAGAGCATCTCGTGAGATTTCGATTGATATAAAAAAGAAACGCGGGTATCGCTCGTGTAACGTTTGCACCGCGAAAACATGCCGAAGGTAAATACGCTGTTCAATTACTTCACCTCGCCGAGGGGCTCGCCGGGGGCGAGAAATTCGCCGTCCACGCCGAAGTCCAAGAGGCCGGCCGCCGACGACGGGGATGCGACACCGAAGAGAGAACAAAAGAGCAAAGGTTCGTGAAAGTTTTTTTGTGCGTAGCACGCGTGTAAGATGGAGAATTTCTTTTTTATTCGTGCGTTAGATAAGATTCGTATGTAATTTATTCGAGAACGAATTTTAACGCAACGAATTACTGTATGCAAAAGTTAATCGATGTAAGTAACAAACGTTCGTGGCTCATCGATGCACGCATACATGTTATCCTTGCAAAATTATTGTTGACAATTTTTAACGAATGACAATTCGAAGTTTGAATGATTTGAATATTTTTGGAAAATCAGTTGCCAGATTTGCTAAAGATAAGACCAAAGATAAGGAGAACAAATTGCAAAATCAGGACAAAAAAAGGACTCTCAAGGACGTTGATGATGATTCAATGGAAGAGGATGAACCGGTACCTCCTAAACCCAACAAGAGAAGGAGGATAATTATTCCTGATGAGGATAGTAATTCATCTGGGAGTGACTACAAACCTGGTAATTTTAGCGTACTGGTAGCGACAATAATTTCTATTAACTAAGGCTAAACTTATTGACAATATTTTAGATCCTGATGAGTCAAAAGATTCAAGCATGGAAATTCCTGCTGATGAAGTTGCAAGTGAAGCTGAACTATCAACTGCATCAGAATCTGAGGATGACAGTCCAGTTGTAAGTGATTTTAATTGATCTTGATATTTTAGTTTTTGTTTTTGTTACTTGATGTATTTTAAACCATTCATAGAAAGCAAAATCAGCATCCAGAGGTAGTAAGAAATCAGTTACAAAAACTCCTAGCAGAGTGACAAGTGCTAGTGGAATTACGAAAACAGATGACAATGAAACTGAAAAGACTGGAAAAGCATCTGATTCTCAATCGTGGCCTCATCTGAAGTATGATTTTTTGCAACCCGACAAAATCAAAGATATCAAAGGACATCGACCAGGCCATCCAGAATATGATGCCAAAACTCTTCATGTGCCATCAGATTTTTTGAATAAATTGACACCAGTATGTAAAATTTTTACTCTACATGTAAATTGAAATCAGATATTCAATTAAAAATTTTTTACAGGCTGTACGTCAGTGGTGGGTTCTAAAATCTGAGCACTATGATACTGTTTTATTTTTCAAAGTTGGCAAATTTTATGAACTTTATCATATGGATGCTGTTATTGGAGTAAAAGAATTGAACTTGACATTCATGAGGGTGAGTTTTTCAACAATGGTAATAATTCAATTGGTTTTATCAAATCTTTATGCTCTAGGGAGAATTTGCACACTCCGGGTTTCCTGAAATTGCATATGGTAGATATTCTGCCAGTCTTATTGAAAGAGGCTACAAAGTAGCAAGAATTGAACAAACTGAAACTCCAGACATGATGGCCAAAAGAGTAGCAAAGCGTAAGTATATTATTTTCTCTTTTTGAAATTTGAGTAGCTACTAATCACCTATTAAATTTTCAGTCAAAAAATCAACCAAGTTTGATAAGGTAGTCAACAGAGAAATTTGTCAAATCAGTACCAAAGGCACTCGAGTCTACACTGTTCAAGATACTGAATCCTCAGAACCAACATCTAATTATTTACTTTCGATTTACGAAAAAACACACAAATCATTATCAACTTATGGTGTCTGCTTTATCGATACAACTATAGGTGATTTCAACTTGAGTCAATTTGAAGATGATCGATGCAATTCTAGACTACTTACACTTCTTGCCCATTGTCCACCTGCTCATATAATTTATGAACGTGGTAATTTATCATCTACCACTCTTAAGATACTTAATAGTTATCTTCCTGGAGTAATGAAAGAAGCATTATTAAAAGAAACACAGTTTTGGCCATCTACTACAGTATTGAAGGTAAATTCTTGATTCAATATTTTAGTGAATGGTTTCAATAACTCAAATATTTTCTAGTATCTTCATGAAGAAGATTATTTCAAAAATGAAGAAGATTCTGAATTTGTATGGCCAGATGGTATTCAGCCTTACTTGAGCAAAAGTAATTACTTTTTCATATTGTACTATTGATAATTACATAGAAGTTTGAATAACTAATAACATTTTTATTAGGTGACACTTTGGGTCTCACTCCAGAAGATGATAAGGAATTGGCTGTGAATGCTTTAGGTGGTTGCGTATATTTATTGAAATCATACCAACTGGATTACCAATTGTTGACTCAAAAACGTTTTAAAACTTATATTCCACCTGATATCGTAAACAAAAAAGACACACAATTTGCACATAATATGGTAACTTGAATCACTGAATATTTACTTGGCTAAGATTTCTATTATGTTGAACTATATTCTATGTAATTAAATACTAATTATTTTTTTCATTTTTAATAGGTCTTAGATGCAATGACAATTAATAATTTAAGGATTATTGGAAATGATGGATCCTTACTAAAAACTTTGGATAGTTGCTGCACAGCTTTTGGTAAAAGGTAAAAAAATAGGTTTTTATACTGAATCGTGCAACAATATTATTGAAACATCTTGTTGAAAACTAAAATTATTACAGACTATTGAGGGAATGGGTATGTCGACCCTCATGTCGAAAATCAGTCATAATTGAACGGCAAAAGGCAATCACGACTTTACTGGATCATCCAGATATTACGCAAGAAGTTCGATCAAAACTGAATTCACTTCCTGATCTTGAACGTCTTCTGAGCAAGTAATGTTACATATAAATTTGAATAAATTTTACATCACTCTGCAGATAATGCTTAATAATAATGTATCTTTAGAATTCATGCTCTAGGAAACGCAGCTAAAATACGAAATCATCCCGATTCTCGTGCGATTCTTTTTGATAATTCGATTTACTCCAAAAGAATAATTAATGATTTTATCACAGCTCTTAATGGATATGATCAAATTCTAAAAATAATAGAGAAATTTTCAGGTATTTTTTCTTAGTAATACTTATCATTTGATTATGTGATTGATTGTAAAATCTAAATTCTTTTCTCAGAGTTGGATAACGAGTTAGTGAACAAATGCACTCGTACAGAGCCTGCTGGTGATTTTCCGGATTTGAAAGATATATTGGATCATTTCAAAGTAGGTATTTTGATTATTTTGCTATTTCGAGAGGCTCTTTTAAAATTTCATGAATATTTTAGAATGCCTTTGATCAAGAAGCAGCAAAAAAAGAAGGTTTCATTATACCTAAAAAGGGCGTTGATAAAGATTATGATGCAGTCTTAAATGAGCTAGCTGACATCCAGTCAGATCTTAATGATTACTTGAACAAACAATGCCGACACTTTGGAGTAAAAGTTAAATTCGTTGGTACCGATCGTAAAAGGTATCAAATAGAAATACCAGAAACTCAAGTTAAAAAAGTTGGAAGTGGTTATGAATTGACTGGTTCGAGAAAAGGCTTTAAACGATACTATACCGATGAAGCTAAAGTATACAATTAAATTTCACTTTTTTCCATTGCCACTACACTCGAATACATTGAAATAATGTTTTTTAACATATTTTTAAAGGATCTTCTGTTAAGACAACAAGCTGCTGAAGATAGTAAAGACAAAGTTCTAAAAGATATTAATCGAAGAATATTTGAAAAATTCAGTACACATTACGATAAATGGAGTAATGCTGCATACAACATTGCTGTTTTGGATTGCTTAATTTCTTTAACCGAATATGCACGAACTTGTGATGTTTGTATCCCAACTATACACGATGATACAGAAGATGAAGAAGTACGTTAAATAATATTATACCATCAGCTTATACGACGTACCATTTATAAATTTATCCCGAATTTTCAGATCTTTATCAGTATTCTTGAAGGAAAACATCCGTGTATCATATCGGATAATTTCATTCCCAACGATACCCACATCAATAAAGAAAATTTCGCTCCGCTGATGATTCTGACTGGACCTAATATGGGTGGTAAATCCACGCTCATGCGACAAGTGGGACTCATAACTATAATGGCTCAAATCGTAAGTAATTTCTCGATCGTGAAGCTAGATTTGGAAATACTGAATTGAGTTTTCAATTGGTCACTTTTTGCAGGGATGTCATGTACCAGCCAGCGAATGTAAACTGTCTCTTGTCGATCGTATCTTTACCAGACTAGGAGCCAATGATGATATTATGTCCGGACAAAGTACTTTCTTGGTAGAGCTGAGTGAGACTTCAGCGATTCTTAAACACGCTACTAAGCATTCCCTAGTTTTGCTAGATGAATTGGGTCAGTAAAATGTTTAGTTAAAAACGATTCTCATAAATGTCATAGATTCACATATTAATTACTTTGTTTATTCTAGGTCGAGGAACATCAACTTACGATGGAACAGCTATTGCTGCATCAGTAGTAGAAGCATTAACTAAAATGGGTTGTCGAACTTTATTCTCCACTCATTACCATTCTCTGGTAGAAGATTACAAAACCAATCAAAACGTTACTCTTGCTCACATGGTAAATTTCATTTAGAATTATACAAATTGAATTTAATCCAACAATGAATTGATGATAAATTATTAAATGTTCATTTATTACAGGCATGCATGGTGGAAAATGACGATGACGACAAAGTAACTGAAGAAAATGTAACATTCTTGTACAAATTGAGCGAAGGAGCGTGTCCTAAGTCTTATGGTTTCAACGCTGCCCGACTCGCTGGAGTACCAATAAATATTACGAAACGCGCTCAAGAAATAGCCACCAGATTAGAAGCAGAAGTTAATCTTCGTCACGCATTTAAAACTTTATGCAAAATTAATGATAGCACAACTATCAAGCCTCTGATTCAACAAGGCATTAGTATTTTGGCTAAATGTTAATCAATTTTTTTCTGTTTGTTAAGCATGTTTCGTTGATTATATGTTGATCATTATGTTCAAACTCATTTTAAATTAACGAATGTTACTGTAACTCGTTCTGTTATTGAAGCCGACGTTCACAATTTGTAATTAATCAAAATGTTCAAGTATTATTATCATTGATTGATATTGACTCGCGTATATTCGCAAAATAATAATGTGTGATTTGTTGAACAAATAAATTAAGTTGTTTTTTCCTTTCATGCATTGTTTCAAATTATTCTCAGACATCTCACATAAGGAAATCAGGATATTTGATAGGTAAGTATTTTTGAACAATTGTCTCGCTTACAAAATGTTTTTATTTATCAATACCATAGTACAAAAGGGCTAATCACGAATATTAATGTGATAAAACACGATTTACACGTTAAAAGCACAATTTTTTTTTCGTTTTTTTCTTTTAATTATATCAACTCATATACGAACACGAAAGACAATCAGCGTAAAATTAAGCCTCGTATATTATTATATTCTTCGTCATTACTATTATGAAAGAGTATAATATTGAATAGTACAATTAGAATACAAGAAGCTCGTGTAACATTCATAGGTCTCTGAAAAAGCTCCAAGATGTGTCGTCGTTCTTATTAAAGAATGTACGAGTTATACACGTAATATATCTATACGAAGAAATAATAAGCAAAAATTAAATATTACATATAGGTGCATCGTTTTTTAATATATATATATTGCAAATTCGACGACCGAATAATAGATTTTCGACGAGTATAATACATGAATTAAGTATTGTGCTTTCGCTAATTTTTGAGGCGATAAATAAAAGTTTCTCGTGTCTTTTTAAAAAGTATTGATAACGAAAATTTATTACAAACTTTCATCTATCGTGAATCAATATTTTCTAATGAATTTTTTATCGTTAACACTTGTTCACAAGAATGAAATACTCTAAAATTATACAAAACCGATCTAGTTCCTTTTTTGACGTAAAATGCTTCTATAGCTTGTAGGTAATATATAGGTACAATATCTTGAGAAATATATTTTATTTATATATATTTATATGTATTATGCCATTTTTGTTTTCATAAAATTCATCTTAATAAATCTCTTCATAATTAACTTTTATTTCTCTTCGCTCCGTTATTTCCGTGTTTACAACTTTTTCAGCATGTTTCGATGAAAATTCATTTTTTGCTTGTAGATAAAAAAAATTATTGACACGATAAATGATTAATAATAGTAATAATAGTAATAATAATAATAAAAGTTATAATGATTATAATCGATCTTTTTCCTCGATCATAATAATAGTAATAATAATAAAAAATGATGCAATTTTAAACATTCATTCGATAATTAAAAATGTACGAAAACAAGAAGATGATTCTCCAATCTAACTCAACTCCCTTTGAATAATCGCATCAAAACTAGTCATACGAGTAATTAATCGACAGTAAAAAAAATTGTTAATTAATTTCTTTTTGGTTTCCTTCTATATTCTTTAAGTATAACCATTAATTTCGTAAAAATTAATAAGATAGTAGAAAAAAATTACGTCAATTGAATAAAATTCTCATGTGTGGTATTTTTGATGTTTGCTTTTTATCTTTAATGTGATAGTAATCAGAGAATTTTTCACACATCAGTCATCGTCGTCCCCAGTCCATTGATGTCGTCGTTGTCTTTGTCGCTGCTCTCAGCTGTTCTGTCCCGCTGTCGTTTTATTAATTTTTTGTTGTTCTTGTTGTTGTTGCTGCTGTTGCTGCTACTGCTGCCGCTGCTGCTTCGTTTTTCGTTTACCAGAGACCGGATGAGAAGCCACCGGGTGGTACGCGATTCTTTAGTCTCTGGACTGGCTCTCGGCCGATGCTCGGCGACGAGTCGGTGCTGGATTTTTCGCTGCCAGCGCTCGATGATGCGGCGCTGCTCATTCCACCGTTGGATGTGCCGTTCTGGTGGAGCTCGTAGCCTGCTCCTGTCACTGGATTGCCATCTGCGAGCATATGATTGATTCCGGTGTCAGTTTTTTGACGAATGATTATTAGATTTTTTTTTTTAGAATAAATTGCCGTCGTGTTTTTAATTCAAGATAAATTAATATTGCGAACAATTTATTCTAAATTTAGTCATTAATACGTGATGGCAGCTTAAATGTCGCTTGTAACGATGCTATAGATGAAAAATAAAAATAAAAAATACACATGATTGAACGAACGTTCATCAGCCGTTTGCACACGTTCAAACGCAGTAGAAAATCTTTCACTCGAAACAAAATAGAAAACAATATGTCGCAAATCATGCCTAACTATGAATTACCGTTTCACTTCAAACCATGCATGAAAAAAAAAAAAAAAGAAAAAGAGTAAAAAAACATACGATGACGAATAACTTCACTCGAAATTAATGAAAGCGTAAAAAAAGTAGTTAAAAAAATTGTAAAAATTTTGCGTTTGAAAATTAAATCGTTCGTAGAAAGCTTTAAGCGCACACATGATAGTCGATGAAAATTAGAATAGTAATGAGAAAAATATGAGCATGAAAATAATAATTGTACATGAATAGACCTATTCTATGTAGTATAAGATTAAAATATTCGTATTCTGAATGGGGGATACGATGGGGGGCTAGGGTCTACGATCCGTCGATGATGAAGAAGCAACTGTTTTTTATATAGATTATCATTTTTTTGGCCGATCCGTGGGATTTTGTTAGTGATAAAACGTTACCTCTGCTCTTGCGTACGATGCGCCTCGATGCCTGAGGCTTGAAGTCGACGCCAGCACCTGTGACCGGATTGCGCGACAGGTTGATCGATCCAGCTCCTGCGCGCGCGCAGGTCGTTGATTTTTAGTTTTTGTTAATTTTTTTTTTTTTCATTCGCAAAGTGTTAAGTTGTTTTTGGACAGAGATACACAGAGAGGTACACAGAGAGACAGACAGAGACATTATATAAAGCAGCGTGCGACGATGCGTGCAAACGGGGGGAAGAAAATTCAAACACAGCCACCGCAAAGAGAGGAGCAGCGCAGCCACCATGAGTGATTTTTTTTTAGTTTCCATTGAGCCATATAGAAAAAAATAAAAATACCAAAACATAACATCTATGGTTAAGACATTGTATATTAAATGGTTAAAAAGATGATGTTAAATAATTAAATGAAAATTGATAATTGATCGTGATAACTAACTATACCGGAGTATCGGATTCGCATGAAAAAGCTCGTGTAAGAAAAAAAAAAGTAAAAAGTCGACTTTTAGAAATCAACCGAAATAAAAATCACAATGACAAGCGGCGCGTCATAGATTTCGCATTTAACTCGGTCACCTGTTATGGTACATATATGTATGTACGAGCAATTTCTAATTTGTGAAAACATGTAATACTCAAATATCATGGCGCGTAACAAGCCGCGCGCGCTTCATATACGTCCTCCATATACATCCAAAGAAACGGACTCTCGTTTGTCATATGCCGTATAAATATCTAACTGCAACGCGCGCCTCTCTCCACGGCCAATTATGATCGTTTTCGTATTTCGTTACGCTCGAGCATGAAGCGTGTTTATACATGTATATATACGTACGTTATTAAATGCACACTCAAGAAATGGACTCTAATGATAGGATAACGCACGCGCGGCGAGCAGCGGTGGCTTATTAAACTTTCGCGAATTAATGCGCCGAGTAATTTTCCTTGCACGCTCAATTTTTTAAAGCATTTAATTGTATTTCGCGACGTTGTAGCATTGTGTGTGTGTGTGTGTGCGCGCGCGTTTATAATACACGAGAACCGAGCACAAAAATGAGTAACGGAGGATGCATAAAAATTGACGTCGCGGTTTTCAATGCGCTTCGCGGGTGAAACGGATAGACAACGCTACTCGTGCATCATGCGATGAATTCGATACATATATATATAAAGATCCGAGAGCGAGTTGAATCGTAAATATACACTATTTACCGGTGCTCGCGCGCGCCCGTGTATAACACATACATTCAATGGTGAATTGATAAAGCGANGGCTGCAACGACGGCGACGTTGTTGTCGGTGGTGGCGGTGGCGTTGCTCGATTTGTTAGCATTGTTAGCGTTATTACCATTAGTAGTGATCGAACGAGTGTTATTAGTCAGGTCGTCGCTACTACTCAACGTAATGTTGCTTCTCAAGTGATTTTTCGAGTTTGGGGTCGGGGCGTCGGGAGGGCCGAACAGACGTTTGTACGAGTCATTACCGGGCTTGCTGCGCGGTGTCTCGGGTGCGCTGCCGTTCGAGGACGGCGTCGAGGCGGCCGTGTTGTTGGACGAGGAGTCGGTGACGCTGGAGCCGTTGCTGCTGCCGAAGAAGGCCGACGACAGGGTCGACTGGTTCTGCTTGACGCGGCGCGGGCTCGTCGACTCGCTGGCCCCGAAGATGTCGCTGCTACCACCGCCTGGCGGTTTCAGTACCCTGCGAAAAAGGAGCGGTTGTTCGTTAGTTAGAGTTACACACGGGAGTATATGAAGAGAAAAAGAAACGTAAAGGGGGAAAAAGTGCCTCGATTGCGAAACAACAGTCAACCCTGTATACACGTACTGTACGTGCATAAATATTTAAAGCGAGATTCGAACGAGATGGTGTGCATGGCATTTAAACATATATCGAGGGGTGGCTCTCGTTCGTGCGTATGCTTATAACATATTCACAATGCGGACGGAGAGAGAGAGAGAAAAAGGGACGGCAGGGGGCAATTCTGTATACGCTCGTACGCACGCACTCACACGCACATATATATAGAAAAACTTTTCTTCTCCTCGAAGCCTTCCAATTACGCGAAAGGCACGACGACTACGACGCGTGTGCAGGCGCGGAATATATATACACACATCCCGACTTGGCGCGTGCCGCTGCCGCATCTATATATGTTCATTAACGCTCGTTAACCATTTCAATTAGCAAACGAGACTAAGTCACTCTATCGTCTCTCTCTCTCGTTCGTTTGTCGAGCGCGAATAGCGCATAAATACGGAAAATCCACTACTACTACTACTACTTGGCAAAGAAGACGATGATGAAGAAATTGATCAAAGTGCCAACGCGATCGTGCCGGCACTCGATTCGCGCGAACACGCGGCAACGAACCAACGACTTTATATACATGCATTATGTTTAAGTATTGATGACAAATCGTTAATTGTGTCCATACCGCTGACCCAGATAATAATTGCACGGTAGTAGCAGCAGTAGACAACGCCGTCAAGACGTACCATACGGTATACGAAGGAGGAAGATACGTATATGGTAATAATTGCGCGCTTATGTAGGCCAATAGTGTATTGCCGATCCTCGTACGTACACGATAGATACGCGCGCATTATAACAAGGAATGCAATTAAGCAGGGACTGATAAGCGAAGAAGTCGGGCTCGTCCCTTGTTTCTTTTTTCCTTCTCGTCTCGTCTCCTCGCTCTCTTGTATGTATACTTCTTTTGCGCGACGACGACGAGCGCATGTTCGAGAGTCATTGTTGTTCGCGCGCTCGGTGCAATTTAAATCGTTATCAAGTCTCTGCGGCGCGGATGTGTAACGCGTGTTGTTGTATAAATGTACCGATGCACCGCAGCAGCAGCAGCGACGTTGCGAGAAGCTTTCCGTGTCCGTCCGGTCTCGCTACGAGAGTTAAAATATATATATAATTTATAATATATATATATCTTTGTACACCCGCGTGCGTGCTCGTGCGTTCGCGTGTATGCGTGTGTGCAAGGAAGGATGTGGGCGGCACGATATACATCGGCAACAGCGAAAAAAAAAAAAGACCAGAGACGATAAGTCGCGCGCGGCGCGTCGTGTATAATAGTGGTGCACGTATGCAAGGCCAATTTCGAATGAGAAAATGTATACAATGTGTATCGTATACATTTTTGTCAATCGGGGATTATCCAAGTATGCGCGAGTCGAAAAATATAATCCCATTTTTTTCTCTCTCCTTCTGCTTCTTCTTTATTGCTCCGATTGTACTTTCATGTGGGCACGGTACTTGATTTCGCGTGTATGCACTTCTCCTTTTTCTTCCTCTTTTTTTTCGTTCTTTTCTAACGTGATACGCGTCTCGCGTATTTATAATAAAGTCCGAAGCGCAGCAGCAGCAGCAGCGAGCGCATTAGTTTTAAACGGGACAAAAAAGAGAAAACTAGCTCTTGCCCTTTTTGCGCCGAACGCTCGAGCACAAACACACAAGCATACGCGCACACCTCCTATACATCGCGCGCGAGAACGGAGAAAAAGCTCTTTCGAGAGATAGCTGTAATCCCAGAGGGATACACTTTGTATATATTTATATACGAACGCACTGGAGTTTGCCGATGTCATGCATGCCAGAGGGCTGATTCAAGTAAGCCAGATAGATACGCAACATCCAGAGAGAAAGAAAGAAAGAGATCTCTTTTATTGATTTAGAATTTGAAAAGCGTATCAATGTCATCTCGATTATTGCACCTCTCGCTCGCGTACTCGTTGTTTTTCCTTCTTGCTTTTTTGTTCTGTATACGTGTACTCGTTTCTCCAGGCCGTCCAAGCGCTAAAAAGCTCGCGGCTTATCCTCGCTGATCCTATTCATCCTCGCAACGATCCTAGCTAACGCGTGCGAAGAAAGAGCAGGGTCGGCGGCGAATTTGCTCCTTTTCTTTTTATATTTGCCGATTAAAAATTGAATTATATATGTGCCCCTGGCTTTCTCTCGCGTGCGCACTCGCGCACAATGCACACAATCAGCAAACGAAACGAAATAAAATGAAACATCGCGTGTTCGCGGTATCTCTCCCTCTTTTTTTTTTACTGGGCAACAAAAAGGATCGCAGTACAGACAACGGTGTAGGCCATCAATCCGCGCAGGGCCACCGAAAGAATGCGAATTTTGTCATTCTCTCTCTTTCTCTCGCGTGTCGCCGAGATATCATTATACATCCGCCACGTGTGTGTGCATGCAGGTACGTAGTATAACACAACGCGCAAGGAAACGAGGTCGTAACGATGGCAGCGGGATGGCAGTCGTTTTCATTCTTCCTCTTTCCTCGAAGAATATCGATTAAACATCGAGCAAAGAAAGAGAGAGAGACGGGCCGGAGATCGTCGTTTCTCCGCCGCAAAGCATATAAGTGCGAGCGCGTGTCAACGGCTATTGCATGCCGTGTCGTGCGTATCGCACAAATGAAATTAGGCTAATGCTTCGCTCGCGAGCCGCGCGCAAGTTTCAAATCGCACACAGAACACGAGGATTCACGAGAGATAGATATGATTGCCAGGACGAGTAACAAGAGTAATGCATTAGCTCGATGAGCTTTCCAATATATTACGTCTATCTGTATATAATGTATAGGATACAAGAAGCACCGTATTTATATACATACAACGTACATTTATTAGGACAACGAGCGCCTCGGTGCCGCAGTCCGCGAGTTTTTGTATCTTTCTCTCTTGAGGTTTTGTGTCTGTACTGTGTGTGTGCTCTGCGCCGCGTTTAGCAAATTACCTCCTCGTGCGTGAAAAGGCGCGCGCGCGTTGTTACGTGCGCGCACGATATTACGGACCGCGCGGGTTTTTCCAAGGATAACGACTTTCGACGATTATCAATCATATTTTCCAGGTGTGTGAGAGAGAGAGAGAGAGGCAGAAAGACACACACACGCGCGCGACTCGACAACTCGTTACATCCGAAAAATGACAAAGTTACGTACACGCAGGGCATTGCCACACCCGCGCGATGCACCCACGTACATATATATCGCGTACGAAAAAGCACAAGCATACACACGAACCTCGCGTATATAAATCGCACGCATGAAAAATCCTCGTGCATAATGTAAAAGCAATTAGCCCACGCCTATATGTGCGTAAAGCCGAGCGCATTCTGTGCTGGGCTTCTTCCGCATTTGTTGCACCAGCAGCAGCGGCAGCAAACACTTGATGCATATATGCCGTGTGCACTGCGCTGCCTCCTCGTTGCCATATCAGCAGCAGCAGCCGAGCCGGTGGAAAACAAAACGGTATCCTCGCATGCAGAGAGAGAGAGAGAGAGAGAGAGAACGACGAGAAGCGTCGATGGGTTTTTCGTGCGCAAAACACCGTGCCTCGTTATGAGTTTCAAAGATTTTACTCGATTATCATTATTATTACTATCATTATTATCATATAGGTATAGGTCGTCGTACCGGCAGGAATGCTCTCCTCTCCTATACATACATTACGCGTGTAACGACGACGATATACGTATATAAAGAGCTAAAAAGCTGCCGAGCGAGCGTTGGTTGCACATTTAATTTTGCTTTTCCGCGTTTAGTGGAGAACCGTGTAAATATGATAGATACAAAGTCTAAGTCAATGGGCCTCTACTGAGCAAAGGCAAGAGAAAAAAAAAGTTGTTTTTTTTATAAACAGAGTGCCACATGCAGCGTTTTACAGAAAATTTTTACATCGATAAATATTTAACGCTCGTTATAACGTTGCAAGTGAAAATTTTCAATAAACGCGTAAGCGCATATTCATGAGCGCTGTGTGTACGGTAGTTCTCTCTCGTTATAGAACTACACTCCGCACGTATCTACATACATATATAGGCGTGTGTGTAGTTTGCAGCTTCACGGCCGCGGGTCGCGCTCGAATAACGCCCGTGAGTATCGCTTACGGGAAAAAAATCGGCATCGAACCGTGCCGATGCCGATATTCAATATATTAAGAACGCACTCGTGTACACGCGCGCGCGCCTAGCCAGAATTTATTGACGCAATTCGTGTCTATATGCATATACACGATATCGTACGCGAGTCGCGGGATCCGCGAAAAGCCATATACCGCACATGATATTTGGATCGAGCCTTATAGCGCGATTAAGCACGAATAAATATGCTAACGAAGTCGCGCGGGGATCGGATCGGGCGCTTTAGCTCAATCGTCGTTGAATTAATAATTTTCAAGTGCAAGGTGAATATACGTATACATACGTAAAGCTCATCAGAGAGATATTAGAGTTCGGGCCAAGCCGTATGCACAAGATGAATATTTGCCGAGGCGTCGTATAGACACGTACGGATCAATGTAATAATATCTAATATGACTTTCGCTACACACGTACGTAAGTATCGCTATACACAACACGCTGTACGTTCTCGAGATGTGTCCCATTAAATTGGCTTCGGCTTGTCTATCCTCTTGCGCACGCGTACGTGTAATAAGTGTGCGTGCGCTTGGCCGGCCAGCGATTAGCCTAATTTCCCTTCGCAAAGACATAAATATATTCCTGCTTTAAACGAGGCTGAAACGCACCTCTCGCTGTATATGAGCTCGTAATAATCGCAAAAAAGCGTTTAATAAATTCACGTGAAAGTTATACATATTATGTGCAGTGCAGTGCAATGCGTGTACGTGTTCGCGTGCTGCCGCTGCACTTCGCCCGCGTGTACTCAATATTTAGAT